CACTGTCAATTAAATAACCAGACAGCTTCACCTCCCCAAACTTCCCCCAGCGCCAGGCACGCAGCATATGTCACCAGGAACAACTTCCAGCAGCGGGGGGGATGCTGAGAGCAGCTCGGAATCATCCAGAGAGGGAATTAAAAAATAAAAAACATCTCTCTCCAAAAAGCCCCCGAGTGGCGCGGTGGGAACGGCCGACGCTGCCAAAGCCGGGTGGAGAGGGGCAACCTCCAGCCCCACCAGCTCCTCCTCCACCCCATCCTGGGTGTTTTGCCTCCGTGGTCGTGAGATGAAGAGGAGGGGGAAGGTTCTGAGCTCACGTTGATGAAGGCAGAGCCCACCGTGGGCTCTGGCCCCCAGCCCCGACGTTCATCCCGCGGCGTAAAAACCTTTCGGGTGGCTGAGGGGTTTTTTTTGGTGGAAAAAGAAGTCTCCAGAAGCAGCCATGGGTTCCAAAGCTTCCATCAAGAATAAAAACTCCACATCTTGCTGCATCCTTTCGGTATCTCTCAGAGTCAAGCCCGGGTGGTGAAGGTTTTGCCTCTTCCCAAAAGCATCCCGAGCTCCCATCTCTCCGATCCCTCCAGGATTTCCAAAGAAGCCACCACAGGGTCCGTGTCCCTCCAGACGTCTCCAAAACAGGGGGGGGGACAGGCTCCTTGCAGGAGGCCACCACTGGCCTAAGCAAAAAATGCCACATTCGGGAGCATTTCCGACCTCCCCAAACCCTGCCTGAGGTTTCCTCGAGCCAGACCCCGGCCCCACGCACCCCGATTTGCCCCCCGGGGGTGCTGTGCAGCCCCCCCCGAGGCTGCTTCTGTCCAGGCAGAAGCCAGGAAGAGAAAAAAAAGTCAGGATTATCTGCACAGGAGATTTTTTAAAGAAAAATGAAGACTAAGCAGTAATTATTTTCGTTGCCCTGCAACTACGCACCCGAAAGCTAAAGGGAAGAGTTTGTGGAGGAGAAGAGAGGCAGATTCCCAAGCTCCCTGCTCTGAATTTCATCAGCCAGCTAAAGACACCTTCTCCCTTCAGAGGGGGATGCTTCTGCTCAGCAAAACCCACCCCCGAGCTGACAGGGACCCATTGGTGCACGGCAAAGTTGATGTCCACTCCTATCTGCCTTAAGTTCTTAATTAGAACTCCTTCTAAAACCAGTAAAGCAGCAGCAGCACAAATAATCAGGTCTAATCTCAATAATAACTTTATTCCTTTAAGTTTTACCATCATGTGCCCAGCCTTTAGGCTCTTTAACTATAATCTTATCAAGGTAGCACACCACATTCTGCTCTAGCCCGTCTCTATTTTTCCTTCGGGCGAGCTCTGTATTAGAGAAGCCCCAAAAAAAACCCTCACCACCAACACCCCCAAGTCCCAAACATTGCTTCAGTTTTTCCAGATGCAAAGACAAATCTGTGACATTGAGCAACACGCCACCAGATATCAGTCTCCTGGAAGATAATTCCTTTCTAAGTCTCACGCTACAGGACGGGGAGTAGCAGGGGTATGACCTTAGAAACAGTCGCCTTGTACCAACAACAAAACCAGAGGAAAACTCAGGAGATAAGAATATTTTCCCAGTGCTGGGAACGCTCTATTCCAGGTAACCAGCTCCCAGGGTGGATGGCAAGGCTGTTTTCCCCTCTTCTCGTAAACACTCTCTTCAAAACCAAAGTCTCTAGCCAAAGAAAAAAACCATCCCAGCAGAACCTGGCCAAGATCTCACCTGGAGACACATCCCTGACTTCAGCACTTAGCCCCCATTTAGTGCAATCAGGACCTGTTTTATCTCAGGTGGAGAAAAGGGCACCCAGGAGATCAATCGATCCATCCATCCATCACCATTCCCCCCTCCCCTCCCTCTCTCCCTCCTCCAAAATCCCTTTTAAAATTACTCACCTGTTTGTGCATTTCAATATTCAAACCATACGACATTTCATAGTACTGGGGAATCAAGAGAGCCAAGAAAAAAAAAAAACAAAAAATTTGAATTAATTTCACAGAAAGTTATTTGCATAAGGGTCATTACCAGAAAACATCCCCGGGCCGGTCAAAACTGTGCTTTAAAAGCGTTTGTAGCCAAGGAAATTATACCTTCTAATAAGCAGATGTTTAGAGGGTTTCACTGGCATGCATTTAACAGGAGGACACTCCTTTTTTTACTCCTGTTTTCTCCTCCTAAGCTACTTAGAAAAACAAAGAGGCGCAGAGCTGGGTGACAGGCGTCTGCACAGCCCTGGCAGAACAGGTACAGCTCCTAGTCTGGCCAAAAACCCAGTTTCTCACTGGGAGGGGGATGGGGGGGGGAAAGTAGAAGGTGGATTTATTCCCCCACTACCACCAGTAGATCCAGCATTGCTGCTGGGAAGCTCAAGGAGGACCCTGGTCCCTCTCCACGGGGAAAAAGGGGGGTGCTGGGTGCCCTTAAATCTATTACAAACACAAAGCAGCCCCGAGATGCAAATTTCACCCCCCACCCCCCCAAAAAAAAACACCTTTTTTCTTCTCAATAAGCTTTTGCAGCAACAAAAGAGCCCCATTTCCCCAAGAAGGGAAAAGATGCCACCGGGGTGGCTTCACCCCGGGGGCACCAAGGGGGGGGGG